CATCTTGTGGCCAGAGGTATAGAAGAAGTCTTATCGTGAGTCGTTGTTCTGGGAAACTCAGTCCTAACAACCTCTGCCATCTCGTCCAGCCATGCCGACCTTGTCGCTCACAAACTTCAACATTGTGTGCGCCGTGCTGGGAGGATTCATCACCCTCTTTGGACTCGTCAGTTACTTGTTCAAAGAGCAATTCTATCTCTCAGAAGCGTGTATGTACATGATTTGCGCTGTCTGAGGGACCCTTCCAAATTGACCAAAGTCTGACATTCAAACAGTGATTTCTCTGGTAGCTGGAATCATCTTTTCCCCCAATGCCACTGGTCTGATCAAACCCCTCGAATACGCCGCTGGCTCAGAAGAGAGCCTCGACTACATCACGCTCTACTTCACGCGCCTCGTTTTGGGCGTCCAACTTGTCCTTGCAGGCGTCCAACTGCCCAGCAGGTACCTCTACACGGAATGGAAGTCTCTGGCCCTTCTCCTCGGTCCCGGAATGTGTGGCATGTGGGTGTGTGCAAGCCTGCTTGTATGGGCCATGGTCCCGCATCTGAGTTTCCTTCACGCCCTTGCCATCGGAGCATGTGTCACACCCACTGATCCTGTGCTGTCGAACTCGATCGTCAAGGGAAAATTCGCAGACAAGAACATTCCCAAACCGTTGCAGAAGATTATCATTGCAGAGTCGGGCGCCAACGATGGACTCGGATACCCTTTCTTGTTCCTCGCTCTCTATCTCATCAAGTACACTCAACAGGGAGGCGCTGGTCAGCCCGGAGGAGCATCCAAGGCGATGGGATATTGGTTCGGGGAGACGTGGGGATATACTATTTTGCTGAGTATTGTCTATGGTGCCGTTGTGGGCTGGCTTGCAAAAGAACTTTTGCACTTTGCCGAGGAGAGGAAGTTTGTGGACAGGGAGAGTTTTCTCGTCTTTGCCATCACGCTTGCTCTCTTCATAACAGGGACTTGCGGCATGGTTGGCTCGGATGACGTCCTGGCTTGCTTTATTGCTGGGAATGTGTTTACTTGGGACGACTGGTGGGTGTGACAGAAACCTCCAAGTGACTTTCGTTAAAACTCTCCGCAGGTTCCGGCTCGAAACCCAAGACGACTCTCTCCAACCTACGATTGATATGTTACTCAACATCTCGGTCTTCCTCTGGTTCGGCGCCATCTGCCCCTGGGCGTCCTTCCGATCAAACCATGTCATCCCGATCTATCGACTCATTCCGCTAGGAATTCTCATTCTGCTCTTCCGCCGGGTCCCCATTGTGTTTGCGATGCACAAAAAGATTCACCAGATCGAGGAATTTCAGCAAGCCGCGTTCGTAGGGTTTTTTGGGCCTATTGGAGTGTCGGCCATATTCTATCTCTATGTCAGCATTGATTTTCTCCGACAAGTCACCGTCGACGGTAGGGTGCGTGAAGACGCAGTCCGTCTCGAAGAAATCATGAGGGTGGTCATTTGGTTTTTGGCGATATGCAGTATTGTCGTTCATGGGCTCTCAATCCCGCTGGGCAAACTTGGTTATCATCTCCCGCGGACTATGTCTCAAGCTCTCAGTAGTGACAGAGAGGATGACGAGCCAGATATTCACTTGGGGCCATCGCATCATCGCAGATCAACGAGTCAATTGCGGCAGAGGAAAGTCAATGGCAACAGGAATCCGGATCGCCGCCCAGTTCCCGCAGCGTTTATGATCGGGCAAGGAAACACGACAAGATCGACCACCATGGATCTAGAGAGCGCACAGGAACCTGCTCGACCGGTCCACATTATTGAGGACTCGCCGACCAGGCAATCGCCTTCGATGGGGACGTTGGGGCAGCCAAAAGAGGCTGGAGCGCAGCTAGATAGCCCCGCAAGCGAGCTAGAGGACCCGAAGCATTCTGAGGGAGTGGAGGTAAGTGAGGAGGTAAAGAAGACTTGAACGGAGAGGTGGCGCTTGTCGGGTTGATATCCTCGCCTGGATAGCTGAGAGAGCGCTTGTCTTTGCACTGTTAGAGAGCCAGTGCACTCAGACTAAGACATAGATGAACCAGGCTGAAAAATAGAAGCGGGGAAATGGTTGTTTTCGCCGTCTACATTCGCCATGCGTTGGAGTGTTCATAGAACCCGATGCTTGTTTGCCTAGACAAAAAGCAGGTATAGTTGAAACGGAGACGCATATCTCCCGCCTGCGCTGTGTGCAGTGTTGCACCCCCTCCCACATCGACACTCCACCTTCACCACCCCCTTCACGCTTTGCGGGCTTGCTGGGTGCTTGCATGCCAGCTTGCCAACCCTCCAATGTCGAGCCAAAAATCACACGCACCCTGCTCCTAATTTGATCGAAGAAACCAGGCTGGTGCCTGTCACAGCCAGCCCTCTTTCCCCGCCTATGAGGACGAAGGTCACACCAGGACCATCTCCCCTTCTGCCCCTTGCCGCCACCCCTCCCTTCCTCCTAGCTACATCCCAACTTCACGCAAAGGCAGTGTCCCACCGGTTTTTAGTCCCCGACTCCTCTCTACACTCTCAATCGTCAGGTCTCTCATCATTTCATCACATCGAACCCTTTTTGTCCAGAGAAAGACGTGACTCATTGACGGCCATTGACTCCTGTTCGAGCGCGCCCTGAAAACCAACCCAGATGCTTAGTGCCCGTCTTTGACCTGGTTTCTCGTCCTTAGTACCACTTTGACGACTTTTCTCTGCGCTTGCTCGATACGTCAACCTGCCTCGATTTAGGCTGTGCAGTCGGGTCCTCCCCTCTTCTCGCCGTCGGACAGTCATGGCACAGCCTTCTCTTCCCGGCCAAGCCACTGATGCTCAACGTTTCAGTCCGAGCTTGGCCAACGAGAATAACGCGGCCGGAGTCAAGAGGAAAAGAGCAGCCGAGCGGAAGTTTTACGCCGTGAGGCAGGGGAAGACACCTGGTATCTATGAAACATGGACAGATTGTCTGGGCCAAGTGAAGGGACACAAGGGTGCTGTGTGTATGTAGAATCGGGTGTGGTGCGATGTTTTCATTCCATATTGACGTGGTCACAGTTAAGGCGTTTCAAACTCTTCAAGAGGCCCAAGCATTTATGGACGGCAGAGCTCTCCCAAACACCAACGCCTCTGGAGTGCAAAAGTTCTACGCCGTCCAAAATGGAAGAGTCCCGGGGGTGTACACCGACTGGATACAGGCTCAGGCGCAGATCCGGGGTATCAGGAAACCCAGGCACAAGAAGTTCAATACCCGAGCAGAAGCAGAAGCCTTTGTGGCTGCTGGTGGGAAGGCCAATGGCCTTGACTCCGGACACAGCGTCACCCCAGAAGAGGAAATACGCCGGTTAATAGTCCGCAGTTCAGCGCCAGGTTTGCAAATGAATGGAACATATTCTCCGAAAGACAAGGAGGGGAAGCCTTATGCAATCGGTCAAGGTCCTCTGCCACCCGGGGCTGAGGATGGATATGATCCAAATATCAAGTTGGGGCCGGATGGCACCATCATCAATCGGACCGAGGAAGAGAAGAACAAAACCAAAATGATGGCTAGACAGAAGGACTCCCCAGGGATGCTTCGCATCTACACCGACGGGTCGAGCCTCAAAAATGGTCAGGCAGGAGCTAGGGCAGGCGTAGGAGTGTTTTTTGGCCCTCAAGACCCAAAGTATGCCAACCCTCCATCCTCCAAACCTAAGTCCAAGTCCAAGTCCAAGTCCAAGTCCAAATCCAAACCCGCTCGTTACACGACCTCCAGAAAGCAGCAGCTTATTTATACTATGGACTGGGCGGCTCGTCAGGGTGACTACGGCGATGGACCAACCAAGAAACGGCAGGCAGCCGGAGAGGATGACGAGGAAAAGGCACAAGAAAAAGAAAGGCTAACGAATTGGCGTTATAGAAATGTCTCCGAGGCGCTCAAAGGCAGCAAACAGACCAACCAACGGGCCGAACTGACAGCCATCTTACGAGCATTGGACATCGCTCCCCGGCACAGAGAAGTGACTATCTACACGGACAGCAAGTATGCCATTGATTGTGTGACGAATTGGTATCGGAATTGGAAGAAAAACGGCTGGGTCAACGCCAAAGGGAAACCTGTGGAGAATAAGGATTTGGTGGTAGATATCCGAGAGAGAATGGAAGAGAGGGAGCAGCTTGGCAAAGTCACATATTTTGTCTGGGTCAAGGGCCATATGGACAACCCAGGAAACATTGCTGCGGATCGTCTGGCTGTACGGGGCGCGATGGCTGGGAAAGGGCTTGAAGATGGAAAAGATCAAGAGTCCAACCAGGCGACAAAGACGAAAGGTACCAATGAAGATGGAGAAAAAGAAGGCTTGGGGGACGGTGAACAAGAAGAGGGTGATGAGGCCGAGTTATTTCGGGCGATGGAGCTTGCCCTGGAGGACGATTTTGGTGTCGAGGTCGAGTTCGAGTGACGACCATCAAGTGTTGAAGACCGAGTAGGTCGCACCTCACTGATACCTGGATACCTGGCGAGCTGGGTACCTGGGTACCTGATACAAGAACAAAGCCTCATACATCGGCACAAGACTCCGTACAGGGAAAGTAAAACTTTTAAGCCCATAAACAGTGGTATCGTGGTGCACAGCTTCAACCTGCTTCAGTCGCTCCGTCTTTCGTGTATTTGAAGTGCTCGGTGCCCAGATTTCATCCCTCAGCCTACCGCCCCATTCCCCATTGTGACTTTCAAGGAACTGTCTATCCAAACTCGCAGAACATTTCAGGATCCAGCCTCCCCCTGGACAGACGTGTCGCTGCAACAGCCGATATCGCTGACGACATCGGCGAATCTCCGTCATGATGGATTCCTTTTTGCCCTCCACAATCGGCAAACGGCACGCGACTGTTGTGGTCCTTCAATTCCAATTCTTCCCCGGCGTTTTTCTCTCCCTGAACATGTTCTCTTATATTTCATGTACGACAGTATTATAGGGGTTCCCTCTCCGAATACGTAGCACACTATCGAGTATGAGCTGACTTGGTCTGCTCCTCTCCGAACATGCCCTCAGCAGCGGCCCTTCGCCAACGCGCTGCGGAATCGGCTCTTCACGACCAAACAAACCTTCTTGGGACGAAACAACTCTTTATTGTCTTCTCGGCCCTGGCCTCGGCACTCTTCATCTGCTATGCTGACCAAAACGGCATCGGAACCATCCTTCCGACGGTCGGGCGAGATTTCAAGGCAACAGACACCATCTCGTGGGCAGGGACATCGTCCCTGATCTCCAACACTTCTAGCCAGATTATATACGCCCGCTTTTCAGACATTTATGGAAGGAAACCAGTGTTCCTTTTCTCGGTAGGTATGTTGGTGTTGGCAGATATCTTGTGCGGAGTGGCCCCGGATGCGTCGAGCTTCTACTTCTTCCGTGCACTCGGTGGTATTGCAGGCGCTGGTATCAATTCCTTGACCATGATGATCATCTCTGATATCGTGACGCTGGAGCAGCGAGGGAGGTGGCAGGGCTTCTTGGGTGCTGGTATCGGCGGTGGCAATGCAGTAGGTCCGCTGATTTCCGCTGCATTTGCGCTGCATCAGACATGGCGAGCATTCTTCTGGTTCCTCGCTCCTTGTGGTGCCATTGCCGGTGCCATTGGGTGGTTCTATCTCCCCTCGACCATGCCCAAGGGAAGTGCGAGGCAGCAATTCAAGCTCATTGACTGGGGAGGCATCATCACTGCTACCATTGCTATTGTGCTGATCCTGATCCCGCTTTCTGGCGGTGGCTCATACTTTCAGTGGTCCTCGCCAATGGTCGTTTCCATGTTTGTCATTGGTGGTCTGTCGTTCCTGGCCTTCCTTATCATCGAGTGGAAGGTCGCAAGTCTACCTATGATGCCACTGAGCATGTATACCAATGCTCCAGTCGCGGCAATCTTGACCCAGAACTTCTTTTTCGGAATGGTGTACTACTCGAATCTCTATTATATTCCATTATATCTTCAAAATGTTCGAGGATGGGATACAACGATCTCGGCTGCTTTCCTTGTCACCATCAACGTCCCACAATCTGTCGTCAGCACGCTCTCCGGCATCTTCATCTCTCGGTACCGGCGTTACGGGGTCGTGATCTGGACGGGATTCGTCATTTGGACGCTTGGGGCTGGACTCATCTGCAGCTTCACACGCACAACGCACCCTGCAGCTATCGCCGTCATGCTCTCGATCTCTGGTATTGGCGCTGGCTGCATCTTCCAACCCGTACTGATCGCCTTGCAAGCACACTGCTCAAAAGCGCAACGGGCGGCGGTCGTGTCTAATCGAAATTTCCTTCGAAGTTCGGGGGGTGCAGTCGGACTCTCAATCTCGGCACAAGTCTTGCAAAGCTCTCTCCGGAAACACCTCCCACCTCAACTCGCCCGCTACGCGCATGACACCTTCGCTCTCCCAAATTTGAGCGGTGCTGACGAAGCTGTAGTCAGAAACGCGTACATGGCAGCTATTCGAACGGTCTTCATTGTTTCTGCCCCAATGATTGGCTTCTGTCTAGCGCTCTGCGTGTTCATCAAAGACCGGGGCCTGCAGCGACCAGAAGAGAAAGAGCAGGCGAGGATAGCGGCAGCAGCAACGGCATCGGTAGATGAGAAGATGCAGACGACGTCAGAGAAGGACGGGCTGCAGCAGAAGCAGCCGCCGACTGTTGAAGACTATGCTGGGCAGACGGTTCCAATAAACGGAGAGAACCGAACAGCAGAAAGCAAAATAGATGTGTCACCACCACCATCAAAGCCGGTTAATGATGGATAAAAGGGGGCTAAAGACTTCATATAATAGCATTATAGACCTGAAACATAGATCTTCGGAGTATTTGGCTTCCACTCTCGGCCCCGCATTGACTTTTCGTCAGCGTCACTGCTTTCTCCGTCCACTCGGTATCTCCCTGGACAAAGTTCCAGGGGACTTACCTTGCTCGTACTGTAGTACCTCCGATCTCTACTAGGGACGCCGGCGCAGCCGGCGGTCGGGTGATCAGATCGCATAGGTCGTTTCCCCGGAGCTCTTTTCACCCTTTTCTGTGCCACGACTGCTACGGGATTGACTGAAGTCCTGGAATATCGCCTGTCATGATCTGCAGGTCCTCGTTCGGCGCTGTAAGCCATCCAATATGTCTATATAGGTATGTATCTGTCATGCACTGTCTCGCTCTCAGATGGAGTTATTCAACCCGATCGCCAACCACTACAAATTCAAACCGACACCACTCTACAGGGTCTTCATCGTCTAGCTGTATATTGCGTTGTTCGGTTTTCTGCCTCACATATCAGTTGCCTTGCCTTATTGCCCCAAGTGATAGCTCAAGATGGCGGTGATGCCTTTCTTCTTTGGTCTAGCTGTCGGGCTTTTGTGTCCCTTCGTCATTGTACGCGCCGGCTATCGAATCACATTGCATCCGCTTGCAAAGTTCCCTGGGCCCAAGCTGGCAGGCATCTCGTCGCTCTATCAGGCTTCGTTTGACTTGAGGTCTTCAACGTCGTACATCAAGCAGTTTCATGCTTTACACAAGAAATATAGTCCCATCGTCCGAAATCACTCCGGACCAACTGCACATCTTCGACATGGCGACATACAATGAGTGAGGATTGACTCCAGTTCGCCGGTGTACGGGCTGAACGGACGGTGCTGAAGGGTCTTCAAGATCGGGACTCGCTATGCTTGCTACCGGGACAACTACAATCAAGAAGCAGCAGACGGATTCTTCAACGTTCTGGATCCCAAGGCCGCCAAACTATGGCGAGATGCATATCAACCGTGTTTCGCCAAAGCTGCCATCATCCGGCTGGAACCACTGATTCACGACCGAATCAAGAAATTCCTCTCGGCGCTTGAGGCGGCATCCTCCACCGGCACGGTCGTTGACCTGAGCAGGGGCTGCCGTAGTTTGACCAGCGACGTGGTGACGAGCTACATGTTTGCGGATAAAGGATTTGAAACTCTCGATGCCGAAGGCTTCCAGTCCCCGACGCTGGTGGATTTGGAGGAGTTCTTCGAATTTACGCAGTGGGCCATGTATTTCCCCAATTTTATGGGATGGTTGACGAGACAGCTGCAGAAACTCACCAAGGAGCAGACGGAGAAGTTTATGCCGACATTGGCGGCGACGAACTGGATTACGGAGGTAAGACTCAAGAAGCCTCTGTCCATCTCTCGGCTCTTGTCGCGCTTGCTGACCTTGGATATCTTAGCAGTGCGGCATCAAAGTGAAGGAAATCCTGCGAGAAGGAGGTTCAGGCAGCTCGTTCTCCACCGTCTTCGATGCATGGGCTAGACCCAGTGAGAAGAGAGAGTTCACGCCAACCCTCAAGCAGCTGACAGCCGATGCATTCACCTTTCACGGTGCCGGAACGGACACGACAGCGCATGCACTCACCACAGCTACCTGGGTTCTGATCAACAACAAGGAGAGCCTTGAAAAGCCGCGCGAGGAGTTGAAGGGAGCGATTCCGGAGCCGCACGGTGAACGGTTGGTCAGCTCGAGCATTCTTGAAAGTCTGCCCTACCTTGTGAGTCAAGAGCGACAAGCCAGTTCAGAGGGCCCTTGCGCTGATGTTTTGGTACAGCGTGCCGTAGTCAAGGAGGCTTTGAGGATGAGCATGGGAATTCCTGGGGGGTGAGGCTCGGAGGTGACGTGTGCGCGCGAGAGAAATCCTCCAACTAATATGTTTTCACACACAGCATGTGCCGAGTAGTGCCTGAAGGCGGCGCTGTGTTGTGCCAGCAACAGATTCCTGCAGGAGTAGGCAGCTCATCCCATTCGCATGACCGAGAGGCGGATCTTCAGTGATCCGATCCCGCGGTTGCTTGATGTGGGCACATTCTAACATTTCTCAACTCGCCGTAATCAGGTCGGAATCACCAGTGTCTGTTACTGCCACCACTACGACCCAGCGTATTTCCCGTCTCCGAACGAGTTCCGCCCAGACCGCTGGCTCGGACCGGACGGTCAACAACTCGAAACCCGCCTGATCGCCAGATCATGCATTGGCGTCAACCTCGCATATGCCGAGTTGCATCTGAACCTGGGGTATGTGTTTAGAAAGTTTGACCTGGAAGCGTTTGAGACCACGGAGCGGGACATGGAGTGGAAGGACAACTTTGTAGTTACGACGAAGGGCCATTTGAGGGTCAAATTGAGGCGGGCCAGTGACGACGAGGAGAAGGAGTAAACGGCGTTTTGGGAGGTTGTCGTTGTATGCGCTGAGACCGTGAAAGATCAAGGATTAATCATGCTGAGATGTTATATTGTCGCAAGTTCTATGGTAACAGGCGTTATGAGTGAATGGCAAGGGTGGTTATTGATGCTGGTGCCGTAGTCTTGGACTCGTAGCATAGCCACCATAGGTAGTGAGGTAGGTATCATTTTCCCTTTGCCGTGTTTCCCCAGTTTTCGTGCACCGCAGACGCGGGACGCGTCGCATTTCTATCCGAAGCCCACCGAGTAAAGCACGGTCTGCCATCCCCCACCACTCTGGCTCTCATCTCCATTCCCCAATCATCCGATACTGATTACCTCTCGGCAGATCAAACGCCGACAATTGCTCCTTTTAGGTCTGCCGTTGGGGAACCTAGCTCTCGTGGACGAGTTAGCTCTGACGCTTTGACCCAGCACGCCAGCTCAACGAGGGAGAAGTCCGCCAACGGCGACAGCAGCAGCAGAGGCTGCAAGCAGCAAACAGCAAGCAGCGAACAGCAAGCAACGGGCCACAGAATCGTCGGGTCGGCTTCTGCTAATCATGGCGGTGGAAGGCTGCTGTACCTGCTCGCGAAGCTTGTCTCCGTCTCCGATCCCTCTCCTCGCTCCCAGCGGACAATTTCTAGATTTCGAAATATTTTTTTGTCTGGTCGGTTGAAGAACAATCATCCTTCCTCCTCTCGGCGTCCTGTGCTGTGGCGTGCTGTCTCGACGCTCGACGGGGCGTCTCGACCCAACTTTCACTCACTGACTCACTCACCCACCCCCTGCTTTTCTATAATACTCCCGGTTCATTTTCCTCTGCTTGTGCTGCAAGAATCTCTCTTCTCCCGGCGCAGCTTGTTTTGCGGTTGTTGATTTGCGTGGGTGTTCAAGTTGTTCACCGGGTACGATTAGGATTACGGCAGCTCGTATAACTGCAATAGCTGGCATTTACCATGTCGAAGCTCATAGACTATGCGGAGGGTGAGTACATATGTGCCGTGTTACCTTCCTTGCGGAATACCAACTCCTTACGTACAACTGCATACTTGCCGTCGCTCTGCAGAAGACTAACTACGGCGTTGCGTGCCTTTAGTGCAAAAGCACACGACCAAAGACTCGTGCTGGGTCGTCCTCTACGGCAACGTGTGGGATGTCACAAACTTCCTGCCCTCCCACCCCGGTGGAGCCCAGATAATCCTCAAACTCGCCGGCAAGGATGCCACGGAAGAGTATGACCCCATCCACCCTCCGGGCACACTGGAGGAAAACCTCCCCGAATCCGCTCGCCTGGGTCCCATTGACCCCAAAAGCATGCCGGGACCGGTCAAGCGGGCGCAAGATGTTGGACCATCGCCGGACATAGGGGCTGAAGTCGAGATGCCGTTGCAGGCTATGCTGAATCTCGATGAGATCGAGGCCGCTGCTACCAAGAAACTGTCCAGAAAGGGCTGGGCCTACTATTACTCCGCAGCCGACGACCTGATGAGCAAGCAGCTGAACAACACCGTCTATCGCCAAATCCTGCTTCGGCCGCGTGTGTTCGTAAACTGTCAGGACTGTGATCTCCGCACTACATTTCTCGGGTATCAACTGGACCTGCCCATCTTTGTCTCACCCGCCGCCATGGCTCGCTTGGCTCACCCGGACGGCGAATGGGGGATCGCACAGGCATGCAAGAAATTTGGTGCCATGCAGATGATCTCCAACAATGCGAGTATGACCCCCGAGCAGATCGTAAAGGATGCTGGCCCGGACCAAGTGTTTGGCTGGCAGTTGTATGTGCAGACCGAACGGAAGAAGAGTGAGGATATGTTGGCTAGAATTAACAAGTTGGATGCGATCAAGTTTATATGTCTCACCCTCGACGCCCCAGTGCCTGGGAAAAGAGAGCATGATGAACGCGGAAAGTTTATAGTCGAGGATACGAGCCAGGCCATCAAGGACGCTGGGGGTGCGGAGTTGAAGGGCGGCGGGGGCATTGGACAAAGTCTGTTCTTTGGCACGGATCCGACGTTGACCTGGACGGAAACGCTGCCTTGGTTGAAGAAGCACACCAACAAGCCCATCATTCTCAAAGGTCTGCAATGTCACGAGGACGCGTATATCGCTGCACAGCATGCGCCCCAGGTCAAGGGCATTATTTTGTCGAACCATGGTGGCAGAGCTGCGGATACGGCGCCGCCGTCTGTGCATACCCTGTTAGAGATCAGGAAATACTGCCCCGAGGTGTTCAGCAAGATTGATGTTGTCGTTGATGGTGGGATTAAGAGAGGTACGGATGTGGTCAAGGCATTGGCTCTGGGTGCGAAGGCCGTTGGTATTGGTCGCGCCGCCCTCTTTGGACTGGGTGCCGGTGGGATCGAGGGAGTTGAGAGAGTATTCGAAATACTCAGGGACGAGACTGCCACAGCGGCGCGGTTGTTGGGCGCTGCGAGGGTGGCCGATCTGGGACCGGTGCATATCAATACCAGGGCTGTAGAGAGGGATATTTATGATGGACCCGCTAATCTGCCTGGCCATGAGGGGGCCATGAAGGGACTTTGGGTAAGGGCGAAGCTGTGATCGGGACTCTGGTGTTGTCCGTTTCTGGCATTTCGTGCGGCGCTACCCCTTTGGACCGTTCCAGTCTTGCTTTCGGAGTAGTGAAGCACAAAGATCTGGGAATAGATGGATGCAAAGAGACAATGCTGTTGTGCTTGCCGCAAGAGGCCTCCGGTCTGCTTCAAAATGCTTCCTGACCAACACTCGTTCCGAACCATGTCCGCAATTCGTCTATCTCAGTCTTAGGCCCTGACGTCCCATCGGCACTGAAGTAATGCGAGAGTTTCACGTTCTCGTCTTCGCCTTGGTCTGGCCACTCGGTCTTCGTTGCTGGGCCACCTCTTTGTTCGAGCATATCTTTAACGGTTCCCCAGCTGAATCGGCATTCGTTTCCAAAACCCCAAACAGGGTCAATAGCGGATTTGAGCCAAGCAACACACCTTGCATCAGAAGGATACCCAGAGCCCCACGTTACCGATGCATCCTCGACCGCCATTGGCTGCTGTTGAGTATATGCCTCTAGAAGGGCCTCACAACTGACATCTCGAGTGACCTTGGCCACGACACTTGCTGCACTCACGCAAGGAAAGAGACTGTCGGCCTTCTTTTCGACGGTGATGTTGATGGTCGGGAAGATTAGCTCGAGCTTTTTCTGATAGACTGCAGGTTTGCCAATGGTATCGACGTAGATCTCTGTCACGTTGACGCCCTGCTGTAGAACTCCTCGGATTAACTCGACCGTGGCATCCATGGCTTGGGCATTAAGATTGTACGAGCCGCCATTCTTCATCATACCGGCGCCGATGTCACGAGCGCTGAGTGATTTGACAGCCCAGCCTGATGACTTGAAGAGATCCGTACCGGCAGTGCAAACTGCTTTCATGAGACTTGCTCGCACCGCTGGCGTGAGCACTTTGGAGTCGTCGAAATGATATGATTCGGTGAGCAGAGACTGTTGGATTTCAACAGGGAGATAGAATACCCCATAAACCATGGGGCCGATGACAGGGCCGCGTCCAGCCTCGTCGACCCCTAAAACGCACGGCGTCCCAGATGCAGACGAAGAGGCTGTCCTGATGGTGATTGCCTCGGGCACGTCGCTGTAGTGCGCATAGGATCTTCCCGAGAAGAGAGATTCATGGTTATCCTGTACCGACGGCGGCGTGAAAACTGTTGAGGCCGCGATGTTCTCTTCCTCCATGATTGTCCGGCCTTCTATCATATGCTGAACTGCAAGAGAATACGGAGTACCTCGTACAGATCACGCGAGAGCGAAAGCGAAAACGAGGGCAAGGGGTCTTGACGCGTCCCTGCGCGTCCCAAAAAGCAGCCTTGCCCGATATGTGCTAGTATACCAGCGGCCAATCACATTCTCTCTTCCCACCGTTACCACCTAGTCCTAATTCGGATAATCGACAACACCCCATTTCAACACCTGCAACGAACGATCCTATCTGTTTTCGCGGTTGCCTTTGACACCCTTTGCATGTTTTGCGCAACTATATAGGAGATTACCCGGCTTCTGAAACTCCAAACCTGTCCACCATGGCTTCTCGATCTGCGGTTCGCCGCGAGCTCCGCAACGTGGATTATTCCGCCATCGGTAAACTGGGAAGGTGAGAATGGATGCGCCCTGAAGTCGGAGACCATCTACTTACAGAGCGCAGACGTACTGGAGTAACACTCGACTACCGGCCACTCGACGCGAACGGCATGGAGGAAATCTCGGGCATATTCTCATCCCCGCGCAAGCCCTCTCCGTTGAAGAATGTGATGCTTGTGGAGAGTGTGGAGGGACCCAGCTCCTTGGCCGAATCACTGGAGGCGTCGAGTTACAAAAGTACGTGCATTCGCTAGGGGGACCGGCCATTGCATTGCGATCATACTAACACCACCGCAGGTTCAGGCTCTGCACCTCGTCAGGTTCACTCGTCTCCCCGAAGGAGCCGCACAACGCCCATTCGCCCTGCCAGGTCCTCGTCGCCGAGAAAAAGCGGTGTTAGTGGTACCGCAAGGAAGAGCAATGGTGTTAATATATTCTCCACTAGAAAAGGCTTGCAGCATGAAGACATTGGGGATAGCGAAAACATTCCAGAGCCTACACCAACTCGCACTCTGCCAAATCTGCAAACTAGAAACTTCAGCCCGAGTCCGCAGAGGCCACCACTTCGAGATATCACGGCACCTCTTTTATCTAAAACTCCGAAAGGGAGAGCGAGTCTTGCAATGCAGCGAATAGAAAACGAGGTTTACCCTTCCACAGAGGACGATGACTCTGACCCCGACCGAATGACTGAAGAAATTGTGACAGTACTAAACGATGCCAGTCTCGTGCCTTCTGCCAAGACAACAGAAGTCCCTGCAGCCAATGCAGAAAGACAGGCTTCAACGGAGTTTGATGATCCTGATGTCGAATTTGATGGTGAAGAAGCGGACCAAGATCAGGAG